GGCAGAGATGCAGCTCTAGGCCTACCTTTGGGGGACGTATACTGATGGCGTCTGTAGGAGCCGATTCCAGAACAACGACCGGCGCCTACATCGCCAACCGAGTGACAGACAAGCTGACCCGAGTACACGACACCATCTGGTGCTGCCGATCCGGCTCGGCCGCCGACACGCAAGCCGTCGCCGACATTGTACAGTATCAGCTGGGCCTCTTTGCCATGCACAGCGGCAAGCCCCCGATGACACAGACGGCGGCGTCCATCTTCCAGGAGATTTGCTACGCCAACAAGGACCAATTATCGTCAGTGACATTGCCACCCTTTTGCCCGGACCATGGATAGGATGTGTGCTGACGCTTGCGTAGAGCTGGTCTGATTATTGCGGGCTGGGACGAGCGGTTCGGTGGCCAGGTGTACTCTATCCCTCTGGGAGGTTCATTGCACAAGCAGGCGTACGCAATCGGCGGTTCGGGTTCGACATACATCTACGGATACTGTGACGCCAACTGGAAAGAGGGCATGGAGGAGGAAGAGGCAGTCAATTTCGTCAAGGGTGCGCTAAGAGAAGCCATCAAGTGGGATGGAAGCTCTGGTGGTGTGATTCGTATGGTGGTGTTGACCAAGAAGGGAGCGGACCGACACCTGTACCTGCCGGATACAGACTACAAGGTGCGACATGAGTAGAGGGAGGATGATGGAGCAAAGGTGTAGTCGTGGGAATAGGCCAGAGTATTTGCTTGTGGGCAGCATAGGTCGACATAGAAATGGGCAACAAGGGCCAATGACTGTATGCTACCCCTGGTGCAGATATCACATTCAGTCTACAATGCGGGCATGTGCTTGACATTTCCAAGAGGCTATCAAAGCATGAATTGCCTTGCTGCATTCACGTAGCGAAATAAGAAAGAACGTAATTGAATCAATCTGCACTTACTTGTTGCTACTCGCGGGCCACTGTCCATTTCTATGAGCATGGAGTTTCCTCCGTAGCAAGATTACAGGGTATGTACTTGGAATGATGGAAGCGGCCGGAAAGCTCTGGAGCAGCAACGAGACGAAGGGAAACAGACGAGGTTTCGTGAGTGATTGATGGTATGATGTTGTTTGTGTGAAGCCGTAGACACTGCTTTGCAGATATGACGCAACAAGGCTGGTCGGCAATTGTCCTAGAAGAGAAAATCATAGCCTGGCCTGGCAGAGATGGGGATGGCATTCCACATGCAGCTCATGAGCGCATGTATCATCTCGATAAATCGACGCATGTACGTCAGCGAATCACTGGATATTCCAAGATCTCGATGGGATGTGCAACATGCTCGACATTGATGGACATACAATTTTCTTGCACACAACGAGGTTCCCACGTACATGTATGTAGATACGGACCCAGACGGATGGGCGTGGCTGCGTGAAGTTTTGGCTTCATTGGAGCGTCAACGTGTATTACGAAAGCAAAACGACCGCTGATCTGCAGCCTCCACGGTGTCTTCCCCACCGAGGCCTGGAAAGATGGAGGGCAGATCAGCGAGATTTTAAGCATGTTCGGTGACGCTTGAAGCCAAGTTCCTTAGCTTGGCTTGGCTCGCCGGCGGCATGTCTGAACGGCTTTGTTGCTTCTAACACAGGAAATCTGACGTAATGTTTGAGGATATTGGGGGAAGGATTGGGTGAGGCGGTTGGCGTTATCGCCAGTCAGGGGATGATGGACTGTTTCTGTGTTCTGTGTCCGAGGGAGGTGTGATGAAAGGGGTTCGTGTAACTGTGATGCCTATGGCTTTCTTTTGTTCAGCTCAGTAGGGATGATATTGGGACACAAGAGTGACGCCCAACGGTTGTGTCGTGTTACGATGCGGACGACGGATGGAAATACAGAGCTTAGTCGACTTCCACATTCTAGTGTATCTCTGCTGTGAACCTGCAACAACCTGGGCCGTGGTTCAAGTGGCGCAACCTTGCTTCCTGTGGCTGAACTTGGGCACTCTTCCCCGAACGGGAATAAGAAGCCATAACCCTGGCACTGGAATAAAGGACCCTGGACGGGGCTGTTGGAAGGCAGACAAGGCAAGCCCACGTGCGGCATGTCTTGGCTGGGAGCGCAGCGATTTGGGAGGAGGAGCCATGCCTGGGGTTTCTGGCCTATGAGGTACGAGGAGAGGGGGAAGAAAAACAAAATAGGCATGGGGGAAGCACCGCACGAAGAAGGATTTGGAAGGGCTTGTATCTACGGTTATTCGTGCTGGGAGAGGCACGTTGGATGGGGAGTGGATGGGTTGTGTTCTTGAGGCTGCCAGGAGCAGCGTCTCACTGGTGGTAACGGATATCTGTAAGTAGGAAATTGGTAATAGACCTGGCTATACATGCACGAAGTAAATGAGCGGAGAGTGACCAAATCGTCCTGCCTCCAACAAGGTGAGCTTCGATCGAATAAACTCGTCGCTGCGCCGATGGTGGACACACCCGTTTGTTCCCGCTGCCGTTTGTTTCCTCAAGCCCTGACTGCGAGAGGGGCCCCCATATGTAAGCCTCAGCTGTCTTTTACTTTCTCCGTCCGTCCATACTTCCTACCTCTCTATACTACCTTTTACTTCAGACTTCTCACCGCCCGAGGTTCCCTTTCTCACATCGTCAGTGGTTGTACGGGCAAGGCGAGAGGCGTGTGGCTGCTCGGGGATCAAGAAAGAGAAGCAGAGCAACGAAGGCTCCACCGCCAATCCTCTCGTCATACCACAACGCTCATCGTACATCCAGATACACGCCCGGACAGTAGTACTACGCACATACAGTGATATACACGGGCGCATACCTAAGGTAGGTAGGTAAGGTAACTACTGGCCGTTCTCGTTGGTTTCTCTGTCCCTCTTCTTGTTCCACCCCCTCCTTTTCTGCTAACCTCCTCACCCGCAGCTAGAAAGCCCCCCAAACCTAGGTTGAAAAGAAGAGCAAACGAGGCGGCAAGTTCCGTCCTGTCGACGCCATTCCAGCGTTGCTTACCAGAGACGAGGCTGCCAAGGTATCTCCCAGTCAAAACGCCCCCATACGAGAAACAAGTTGGAAGGGAAAACAAGCTTGAAAGTTGGCTTCCGCACGGAGCTCCGATTGGCACATCCTCGTTGGATTCACGAAAAGTACGTAACTGTGCTTTTCTTTGCCTGCCTTTTGCCAAAATAGCTGAGACCCTGGCTTGTGGCGAGATCGATCTGATCGCGAGCAGATTGAGCCTTGTCCGTGGGCTAGATTTGCTGCGGCCCTTGTTCTCGTTCTCGCCGGTGTCTCTTCTGCCCTGTTCCCGTCCCTGCCTCTGTCTTGTCCAGTTGACGGCGGCTGTTGTTGGAGCCCAACCCCTCATGTCTCCCGTATAAGATAACGATACTTGGGGGTTTCGATATCTCTGGGTTATACACACACAAGCTCGCTCACATCATCTTACCTTATATCAGATCATTCTTTAAGCCTCTTTTTTGGCTTGTCATCAAGCCCATCCCTACAGATTGTGAGTTCAGAGTATTTCTCTTCTGTATCTTCCATCTCCATCCTCTCTTTTTGCCGGCCTGCCCTGCTTGCCCCTCCCCTCAGCCTCTCGCATTGCAGCCCCCGCTTTGACGAACTATTGATGCTAGAGCTTCTTCCACTTGCTGCTCGCACGCATGGATCTTGATATCAACAAGGCCATAATGCCTACCTGTCTGTGTGTACATACAGGCCGCATACCTTCTCCGGCCTAGCACACGCCCCGTCCACCGCAGTTGGGCGCTGCCATTGGCGTTCGCACGAAGCCTTGTTAAGCTTGTGCATGCTCTTTGCCACCCATGACGCTGAGCGGCGGCGCCACGGCTGCAATGGGCCAGAGCGCCACCAAGCGTCCGTCGAGGGCCATCGGGGTCGCCTTGAGGGTTTACGAGCACATCTATGGGGTTCTATGGAGCGATGTCCGGCTGAGTGGCTGCGGCTCGTTGTCCGATTCATGTTACTAGCAGCTGGGTCGGAGGCATCAGATCATTGATCTCGGGCGGGTGGAGAGCGATGTCGGTTTGCTGTTCCTCGCCTATCGGTCCATCGTTTGATGGGCTGATATGCATTGATGTGCGTTGATGATGCAAGAGAGAGGACATCGATGTTCAAGTCGAGAGGGGAGAGAGAGGGCCTGGAGAGCAGGACACCAACAGACTGGACTTGACTGGCAAGGAACACCTCGAGACAAGAACGCAAAACGAGGTTCCAGTCCCGGCCCTGGATGACAAGCGCCATCTCTGCCCTTTGCCCGCCCTCCATCTCATCCGCCTCCTCCGGGATTTTGTCGCGGCTGTTCCCTCGTCTGCCCTGCTGTGAGTCGTTGACGGTTCAGGTTTGCATGTGGTCGAGCCACGGCCCTCACTGGCTGGTGCCCGCATCCCCACTGCCGATACCACCAGACAGCACTGCGGCCCCTAAAGCCCCCCCGCTGCAGCGAGCTCGACAGGGCAGCAGCCGCTGGAGCAGCGGTTCGCGTGCTGCGCAGCTCCCCTAAAGCAAGCCTAAGCCTCAGGGCTCCTCCTCGCCTGCAACCTCCGGGCCTCTTACGGACGCTTTTCTCCCTCAACCCTCACCTCTCCATCTCACTCGCTTCCTCCCCTCTCCTCCTCGCCTCAGCCCCAACTGCTGCTTGTCGCAGCTGTTGTTTGTTCGCACTCCTTCCTTCACGACTGCTAATTTTTAATGACCCGTCCTGCTTTCTAGTTGGCTGCCAACTGCTTTGTCCTTCTTAATCCAATTCTTTTCCACCTTCTGCCCCCCTGTGCCTCTCTTTCCCACCTGGGCCGGTCGCTGCCGCATTTTCGCCCCCCATCTCCTCCGCATCCATAGTACCATTTTCTGCCATCAGGTCCTCAGCCTCAACCTCAACCGTCAAAGTCATCAACTTTCCCGACTGCGAACGCGCGACGCTCTTTCCTCCCTCCCGCCTCGCGAGACGACGCAATGGCAGCCGTCATCGGCGACTTTGTTCCTGACCTCTCGCGCTTCCACAGCATGATCTCGAGCTCCTCGCCCGCCTCGATCCCGCAGCGTCAAGATAACGGCCAGGCCCACGACTCGGCCGCCCCCTACCGCTCATCCAGCCGGCACCGGTTGTCTGGCTCCGTGCCGCGGTCTCAGACGCAGACTCCAGCTTCCGCTTCAGACGCCTCCAGCAGGGCCAGGCCGGCGCCGGCAGCAGCAGCACAGCCCGCGGCGCGCACAACCTCTGGCGGAGCGTCGCGTTTCCCCTCGCCGCCGCCATCGTCGTCCCCAGCAGCTGCCCCCGGCCCTGTCGCCGCCGACGATGCGAATCGAGCGTCCATGGCTCACCAGATGGGAGACGCCGTCTCCGCTCCCGGCATGCATCAGCAGCCGCCATCCGTGAACCCAGCCGCGCCGCAGGGCCAGCAGCAGCCCTCGCCCACCTCGGACGATTCCCCTGCGACTTGCCCCGGCCCCTGGCTCCGACTCGTACCTGGTCTCCGTTGCCGATGCCGTGCCCGTGCCCGAGCAGAACGTCATCCACGTCCGGGATCTTCAACACATCGAGAAGCTCGCCGAGGCCGACCTCGCGGGCGCCCCAGACCGGTCGGGCATCCTGCACGACCCGCCGCTGCACCAGACCAAGTACGAGATCAGTGCGATGCCTATTGCAGACGTCATCGAGATGGTGGCCGCTCTGCTGACGAAGATAACGACTACAAACGACCTGCAGCACGATGCCATGCAGCGCAACGTGGCCCATCAGCAGCAGGCCAACCAGTCGGCGGATGCGCACGGCAGCTCCCAGATGAGCCCACTCAGTCACTCGGTGCTTGCGTTCCACGGCAAGAATGTTCCCGCCATAACAATCCTGAGCTACCTGTCGCGCATCGACAAGTATTGCCCGACGACGTATGAGGTGTTCTTGAGCCTGCTGGTCTACTTTGATCGCATGACTGAGAGGGTCAACGACATGGTGTCCCGCACCGAACGTAGCCGGCGGTCGTCGCGCACGCGAGGCTCAGCCTCGGTCGCGTCGCACGACACTCCGATGGGCGATGCCTCCAGGAGTCCCGACGATAGCGACGAGGATCTGGCCGATGACGATGACAGCGAAGACGAGGTCATGGTGGAACCGCCGACCAAGTTCGCTCGAGAGGCGAGCAGAAACGCCGCGGCGCACGTTGGCGAGCGCTCGGTTGGCCTGCCGACGCCGGCGACGTACTTTGTGGTTGATAGCTTCAACATCCATAGGCTGATCATCGCCGGAGTGACTTGCTCAAGCAAATTCTTCTCCGACGTTTTCTACACCAACTCGCGATATGCAAAGGTGAGGAAGAAGATGTTGCGTTATGTGGAATAGCATGGATTTACGGTGCTGACTTTTGACAAGGTTGGTGGACTTCCTCTGCCCGAGTTGAACCACCTGGAACTGCAGTTCCTAATACTCAACGATTTCCGACTGGCCATTCCGGTGGAAGAGCTGGAGGCATATGCTACCATGCTAGTCGAGTTCTATGCCCGAGAGGTGGTAGCTCCTCGACTCCGACGCACTTAAAAGGAGCCACGGAGAAACCCGTGGCGTCCTATTATACAGCAAATCCAGTAGGAGCATCGCGCAATGGCAACCCATGCTGGGACGGGCTCGGTCGCTGGGCAAGCCGTCCGTGGATCATGTCAGTGCCACGATGCCCTATCGAAACGTTTCGAAATGCGATCACGAAATGCGCGTATCGGAAATGTCTCTGGTACAACGAGTGGCTGTGGCGGATACGGCCGCACAAGGCAAGACCGGTCCTGTGATCCCTGGTGGATATCACATGGCGGGTATCAGCGGCGACAAGAAGTCTCGAGAGCAGAATTATGGTATTGGTTCTTTTGTGTTACTCTCTTTTTTGATCTACAGCGCAAATTTTGGGTCATTATACCAGCGAACCTGAGTAGGAGCGGGGAAGCATGCCGAGGGTCTTGAGCCGTACGACAAGACGCGGACGATGCTCTGAGAAGACGGGAAAGGGTCGGAGCCGTGTGTGTATAAGACGTGTTTGCAGACGACTTTTGGCTAGACCGGGGAGGGACTGCACGGGCAGACATGGCGAGGACGACAGCGATTGCTTCAGGGTTGAGGAGGACAGCTTTGATGGGATTGGCGAAATCATTGCAACGGCGCTGGCGGGTTCTGTTGGGCCTTTGGTTCTTCATGCTTTACTCTTGATGTTTTAATGTTTTGCGTTTGTGTTATGGAAAGGGGGAGGGGATTGTAGGAAGATGATGGTGGCGATGGGACTGGTATGCTAGATAGATTCTTACGACTGCACAATACGATACATTATGCTCTATGATACGGCTTGACTCGTGTCGTAATGGATAGATGGATGTAGATACAAGGATAGATTTAATGTCGTAGATTAAGCGATTTGAGTTATCTTTTGATTCCAGATTTTGCAATCTTGACCGTGTAGGACGTGCAGCCAGGCCGTTTTGTACGATGAGAGCTTTATCTATATGATATTAAGGAAATGGTGATTTCAGTCGACTCGTTGCTGGACAGTTGCTAAGGAAATGCTAAGGAGAGTGATGGCTGAAAACGACAAGGAGAGTGAGTGATGGCTTGGTTTGCATCCGATTTGTCCAACACAAAAAGATGATGACCGTTAATCAATGAAGAATAGAAGAAAAGAGAAAAAGAAAAGCGATGCAAGATGTGAGTATTTTCGCGCCCCCCTCCCCGGTGATATGTATGGCCAAACAAACACCATTGCCCCCCCTCCCTTCCCCGGTCTAAGTTTTGTCCTCCCCCGTGTAAAGTTTGAAGAATGTGAGATTGCTGCCTTTTTTGTTCTTGCCGGTTGCGTATTGTTATGAGGGGAATGGGATGGATTAGTGAATTTACGTAGATTTGAGAAAGGACGTGATTAAGGAAAGATGGAGAGGTTGTGATGATGGAAGGAGGGGGGGGGGGGGGGTTGGGGGGGGGGGGTTTTTGGCCGCCCTCCCTGGAGAAGAGGGGCGGGGGGGGAGAGGGGGGGGGGGGGGGGGGGGGGGGGGGGGGGGGGGGGGGGGGGGGGGGGGGGGGGGGGGATATGATGCTGCTTTGTCCCGAGTCCATAGAGTCAGAGGGGAAGGACGGGAAAGATGGGAAGGATGATGATATGAGAGGAAAAGTAGATGCGGATCCGGTTTTGTTTCTGGCGTTTGATGCTGATGAAGTTGAAGACGATCCGTTTGAACACCTTTCCATGGCGTTGTTCTGAAGTAGGTGCCGAGGATGAAAGATCCCCCCCCCTTTCTGGTGTGTGGGTGGTTCTTCGACGGTTGACGTTGGTGTTGGTGTTTCCCGTGGCATAATGTATGATGGCTCCGAGCTGGGTCCTTCTTCTTTCTTCTCGCTCCTTTTTCATGTCTCTTCATGTCTCTCTTTTGGCATGAACAGTCGTGCAGTGTTTTCTCTTTCACGTGAAATAGTCGTGCAGGAAATTCCCAGACCCCCACCCCCAGCTCCTCGGCTTCTCACAAACCTCCTGCCTTGGCTCATGATACGGCGTCTTCGTCGTCTTCATCGTCGTCTTCGAAGTCGTCTCGTGCTCCTCATTCCCATCACCACTCAACCTATCCCCCCTCTCCCACGTCTCATCCGGAACCTCAAACGTCAAGTCCGCATCCTCCATCTTCAACCCAACCTGCCACCGCCCCAACCACGGCAGGAAATTCCCGCTCCCGCCGCACAACGACTCCCGGGCCTCCTCCGGCTGCCGCACGTCGTACCACCCCACGGTGCTCCTCTTGCAAAACTGCTTCGTCACGAGGCTGATCCAGCGCGAGGTGCTCGGCAGCTCGCCGTAGGTTCCCCCGCCGGCGGGGAGGGGCGGCATGACGAGCGTCGTGTTGAAGCCGAGGTGGTCGACCCAGCTCGTGGCAAAGGGGAAGCGCGGGACGAGCGGCATGGGCTTGAAGGTGGTGGTGAACAGGGGCGTGGCCGAGGGCTGGGACTCGTCGGCGTTGCGGGGGTCGTCGTGGGGGAAGATTTGGATGGTGGTGGAGCCGTCGGGGTGGTGGTCCCAGACGAATCTGGCGAGGTGCTTGGGGGTGTTCCAGTCTGGGATGTTGTTAGTTGTATGTTATACAGAGCTTAGGATCATCAACAGTAGTGACATTGTGCCATTTCAGTTTTGAGAAGGCAATGACATCGCCCTATGATGGAGAAAAGAAGGGGGGGAAATGGCATCGATATGGGGGTTCAAGGGGTAAGAAGAAAACTCACTCGTCCTCCCGTTGAAGCAGCTATTCGGCGTCGAAACGTAGATCCTCGTAATCTTCGGATTGCTCCCCCTCGTCTTGGTCCCGTCCTCCTCCGTCCGCTCCCAGTCGAAGCTCCCCGGCGCCACCAGCATCTCGTCGTACGGCCCCACGGGCGAGTCCCGGTAGCTCAGGATCTGGATCATGCTCAGCCCGCCCACGGGCCGGCTGTACGCCTCGTCGGCGAAGGACGTCTTGCCCTCGAGCGGCGAGTAGGCGTGCTCGGGCAGGTTCCTGGCGGCGTCGGGAGGGGTCCAGAAGGAGAAGGTGTAGATGTCGCCGCGGAGGGCCCATTTCGGGGGGATGTGCCGGATGGGGCCGCCCATGGATTCCGGAGGGATCTTGACGGACGTTTGTGTTTCTGTTTCCGGTCCTGGCTCGGGCTGCTGCTCTGGCTCGGGGAAGGCGGATGAGGAGAGGAGGACTGGGGATGGTTGTGAGGATAGGGGGAGTGATGAGGGAGCCTGCAGCGGCGGCATGGTTTTGCTGGACAAGTCCTTGGAGAGGAGAGGAAAGGAGGTTGGTAGAGGCAGCGGCTCGGTGACGCTGACTTGTGTCGTCGGAGTCGACGGGATGCTGGCGGTGGTGGACGCGGCCGAGGCATCCTCCCAGGGCGATGCCGAGACGGGAGACAGGGGCGAGCACGGCTGGTCGTTGAGGAGGTCGTCGTCCTGGCTGAGGGAGGTGTCGACGACGCAGAGGTGAGGAGGCTTTGGTCTGCCATTGAAGAGCGAGGGCCGCAGAGGCGGAGTTTGTGGCGCAACTGGGTAAGACATGGTGCCGGTTGTGATGCTGTTGGTTGAGGAATTGAGGTGAAATGAGAGTGTGTTATGTCTAGGGATGAGGGACTGTATGAGTAAGAGGGAGGGCCTGGCTCGCAGGTGTCAAGATGATGCCGTGACCAGCTATCAGCAAAAGAGGATCGAGAAGGGGAAATGTGACAAATGACAAAGACGAAGAAGATGAGGATGAATCAAATAGAAGGGGTAGAGAAGAACAAGCTCTCCAAACTGTGACTGGAAAATCTAGTAGACAGAGGAAGGATGACAGAAAGAAGAAAGTAGTCAAGGCCTAAAGAGTCTTCTTGGACCGCATAGGCGAGTCTGCGTAGGGTTGGAGTTGGATGAGAAGAGCTCAAGGGGGGGGTGGGTGGTTCGCCGTCAAAGAACGTTCAGACGACGACGGCACAACACACGTAGTAGAGAAACGCACACACACACGCACACACGCACATACACTCAGAATAAACACACGCAAGCCGCAACACGGAGTTGCAGGGACTCCGGCGCGCTATATACTAGCCCTCCAGGCTGCTGTTTCCCCCCCTTCAGTCTCCAATGACTAACAAGCCGAGGAGAGAAAAAAAGAGAAAAGAGAAGAGGGAGGGAAGGGGAAAGCTAGTGCAAAAGGGCGCCTCTCGGGAGCCAAGTGGAGGCGAACCTTGGTGGACAGCCCGCGCGCGCCTCGATCTCGGAGCGGCAATAGGGCTTGATGTCCGAGAGCTTGGGTATGTAATGGTATGGAGCACCTTGCTTTTCAGCTGGATCGGTAGTCCGAATGGCTGAGGATCCGGGCGGTTGCACGTGCGGAGCTCATGTATGCGCTGCTGCTAGGGGGGGTCTATATAGATGTGTGTGTGTGTGTACACGATGTAGGGGAGAGTGTGGGGGATGAGCGTGTGTATGTGTGCGTATAGGCTGGTGTGCGTATGATGTCGTCGACGGCGTTTGCTGAGAATTATATGTATGAATAAGTATGAAGAAAGCGCATAGAGAACGGAGAAGAACAGGAGCAGGAAGAAGAGATGAAGAGCGTCGAAATAAGGTGTAGGCGAATGTGGGTTCAAGCAATCGGGTACAAGTCTAAACGGACAAGGCTCAAAGGAGAAAGTAGACAGAGAGCGTAAAAAAACAAAGAAGGGAAAAACGAAAAGCGAGTGACCCAGGAAGCTGAAAACAGTAGTCGAAGCGACTAGACGCAAGCAAGCAAGCACCCCGAAGAGCCAAGTGAGCCGGGCCCGGATGCTGTGCTTCTTTTCGGTGTAAGTCTAGTCTCGCCAGCCGGCACGCGGCGTGTGGGCAAGGACGAGGGTTTCGAGTCCGAAAGGAGACAAGGCCAGAGACACAAAAGAATGGCGCCAAAGGGAGAGAGGCAAACTGAAAAATGACGGCCTTTGTGGCTCCCCTCGGGTTGAGGACGGGAGATACGAAGAAGAAGTATGTAATGAGTGGTTCAGGATCGTTCCAGAACTGGTAGAATACAAAGCAGTACCTCTGCTCCTCGTACCAACGGGATGTGGTGCGGTGCGGGTGCGAACCCCCCCTGACGGGCAGAAGCGTGGGCGAAGCTTGTGCGAGCCTGCATGGGAAGACGCATGCACCGGCAGAATTGCAAACGCACGTTCTCCGCACCTTTATTTTGTGGGAGCCGTTTCTTTTTTGGAACCTTGGCCCGGAAGAGAGGGAAGAGGAGGGAAAAGAGAAATAGAAAGATGGACAGCGGTTGTGGGTGAGTGACGGAGGGGGACGGGGGCTGACGAGAAGGAAAGCGTGTCAGAGGAACGGTGGGGTGGGAGGAGAGAAGAGGGAGTCAGAGGGAGATTGGGCGATTGAGAGAGGACGGGAAGCGTCCCAGCGCAAAAGTTTAGGTTGGCTTGGCGATCGAGCAGCGGGATGGATGGCTGGACGGGCATGATGGAGCAGCAGTATGATGGGAGGGAGGGACTGGGACTGGGAAGGGATATGGGGAGGGTCAGGATAGACAGGCACAAGCCATAGTAGTAGCAGTAGCAGTGGTGGTAGTATTACTATATCAGACTAGTACTAGCAGCTAATAAGGCAGGTCTGGGTCCGGGTCAAGGTCCGGGCTGCCTGTCTGGATGCCTATCGTATGGATATCATATGGGATATGGATCAGGTATGGATATGATGGATATCAGAATGGATCTCGTTTGGAGATGAGATGATGGACGGAGACGGCTGACGAGATGGAGACTCGCGCAACACCGATGGATGGATGCCTCGAGTTACACGAGCTGGGCTTGGGAACATGGTCGGACCATGGTCTTGGTTCTGCGTGTGCAAGGACAAGGCAAATAGTTTGTGCGAGGCCATGGATGTGCATGCACGTATGTACTTGCGGGGATGCATCATCACCTGGCTGCTACTACTGTCAATCTCAGCAATCAAAGGCAAGCCACGAGAGGGAGACAGAATGATTGAGACAAAAAGAAGCAAAGCAAAAAAGAAAAATGACAGACCCGGAGAATCAAAAAGAGTGCTAGAAAAGCGAAGGGACCGAGCATCCCTGTCCTGGGGCATAATCCCTGGTCCGGGTCCGGGATTGCACAGCTGATAGTATTACGATACAGACCTGCGACCTGACACATGCAGCAGAGGTCCAGGGAGTTGCCGGTACGTTTGTTTGTTTCCCAGCTCTCTGAGCAGAAGCGACAGGGGTCATGGGTTCTTGGGCCTGAGGGCGCACTTGGCGCTGGATCCCGTGGGAACCAGCTGCTGTACCTGTACCGGGAGGGCTTTAAGGGGTGCCCGCCGGGTCCTGGGCGATACAAGAACATGCCCAAAAGATGGAACACATGCAGGAGGGACGGCGTCTGGGCTGCTGAGAGCAATAAGAGTTGTCTGGCTGCAGATGATGCTTGCGATGATGCCGAGCATCTCCTTGTAAGTCGACTCAGTCCATCGCTACAAAGGCAAGGCTTTGGTCCCAGCTGAATCTCCCATTTCATGCAGAAGACGCGTTCTGCTCCAGGTAACGTGTAATATACTATGCAGGTACTACAACACGTTGTCTAAACGTGCCGCGGCCACGGAGTGCGATGCGACGCTGAACCCCGGCGGTGCCGGTGCGTGGACTTGCAGCTCGCAGGTCAGTCAGCACGTGGGAATGAATGCATGCATTTCACGGCTGAGTAGTTGTATGGAACAGCTGGTTGTAGAGTGGTAGTAGTATCAACCTCGGACGAGAGAGAAGGTCTGGAGCCTCGGAACCAGGTTGATGTCCGTGAACCCGTGTGTACCGATACCACAAGTACGAGTACGAAGTTGACGACGATGTGTCGAGATACAGTTGGAAGAGCTACTTTGGTGGAAGCCGAGAAAGACGGGATAGAAACGAGAAAAGGCTCTCTTGGCTAGGTAGTATGAGAGGAGGGCAGCAAAACCCGCTAATAACGGCGCCAGGGCCTTGTTCAGGGCTTTGGGCCGGACTAAGATTACCGCTAGAAGAACACCAAGAGACTTGATGGGTACAGGTAATCGTAGTGATCGTGCTAGGCAGTAGTATAATCTCGTAGGCTTGACAGGGAGGCGAGGGGGGCAGACGTCGTGGATACGGCTGGCCGAGATGGTGTCCATCGGGGCTGAAGCGCAAGTGAGGCGCGCTTCATGGGGCGCTGCACTTGATGCGAAGCAAGGTACATAAGGTAGTATTCGAACACGGGAATTCATTCGATAATACTGCTGCCTACCTACAACTACATATGCCATGACGGAAGCTTGTCAAGGCATGACGTCTGCGAGTCAAAACCCCCAGCATGATCACAGCTGAATTCGTATCATGTATGTATGAAACGCTCCATCGAGTTGAGAAACATCGCCATGAACGTTTAGATCCGTCTACGCCCGTCAACCCTCGCTTGGCTCAGCACTCACCGGTGGACTTTATCAGCGGATTTGCAACAGACGAAACTTGCTCCGGAGCACTAACTAGCACAGCTTGCAGGGGTTGTTTCACACTGGGCAGATGACCGCCTCCACGACACTACGAAGACGTTTCAAACGAGACTAATAAGAGATAGGAATGTGTACGATTTGCATGCAGGTCATCGTGATCTGTTGCTCTGGATAAGTTCAGTTGAGGTTCAAAGAGATATCAACGGAACGGGGTGAACGGACAATCGGATCAACAGGAAGAGGGATAGAGAGCACGAGTACTGAAAAGACTCAAGAGGGCATCTCCATCCACGGACAATGATCCCTGTCTTCCATCACAAGCATCTCACCAAGAAAACATGTCGCAGCGCAGACTCCAAAAAGGCAGTTGTTCCTATAAACCTTCACCGATCCTTGTCTCATCATTCATCCATAGGATTACTGAACACCACAATCGAAACAAGGAAACAAAAGAACCACAGCGGAAAGGAAAAAAAGAGCACAGCACAGACCACACAGGGTTGAAAAACAAGCCCACAAAGTCCATGGACTTTCCACTCTTCTTATCGGGTTTCCACCAGCTGTTCCCCTTCGATCCATCGAGTCCACCGTTGAATTATTCCGTCTGCTTCTTTTCTGACAACCCCTGACGTCGTATTTTCTGACCTTTTGGCTTTGTTCAGCTCTTCGTTCCGGAACGCTTCTCTGCAGGATTTCGATCTATTCCCCTTTGCGATGCGTATTTCCGATGGCAGTGGAGAAGATGCCACTCGCTAGTAGCACTCATGATTACTTCTTCCCTTTCACTACCCGTACCACCACGAGATAGTAGTTGTTGTACATGCAAATCGACGATGGCCATTCTTCTCGAGTTTCTTTTGCTTGTCAGATGCGGGTTCGTGTTTCGTCTCCGCTGCGCGTCAGCACCCAAAATCACGACAAAGTGGGCATTTTCGACGCCCTTTCTCTGATTCCTCCGGGCCTCCTTGTCTTTTCTTTACTTGAGCTGGGAACGGGGCCTCGGCACAAGGATTTCAGCGGCACTCCGGGCCCCCATGATTTCACAGCCCGGAGTATCTGAGCTTGTGTCTTTGTCGAAGTTTCTTTCTCAGCATGCGTCAATGTGCATATCTACTAATAGTACTAGTACTAGTAGTACTACATAGTAGTAGTAGTATGTGACTTGTATGATGTGTGCGTGTCTGCCTTGTCATGTCTTACATCTGTCTTGTTCGCAGGGCGAGACTGTTGGTCGTGCCACGGACTGCTGTAAGGGATATTGAGAGACAAAAGTCACAAGGAAGACAGAGACAGTTTTTGTCTAAGAGTGGCCTGATGTTTGAACCCCAACGCAGCTGAGAAAGCAGCAGCAAGGACAGAACTTTCAACAAACCATGAGAAGAAGAGAAAGGAAAAGGTCCCAAAATTCGCCGAGAATGCTTATTACCAACTAGCTCGTACATGTCATTAGTCGAAACAGGGAACAGGGGAGAACGAGAAGAGACGGCATCTGTTTCGTTACATCGCGTCTTTGCCCTTTGGCAAGGGGCAGGGGTGGACGGGGTCCAGGGGAGGAGGGGGCCAGCCAGAGACGCAATCGCAGAACGCAGACAAGCAAAGCTATGTACTATTACTACTACCGCCATTGAAATGGTACGCCAACACGCGACGGGATCGAGGGAGGAACACCCCCCCTTGCTTTACCTTCTTTGTTGGTTGGCTTTGTAGTACTAGTAGTACTAGTAGTACAGTAGTATATCGGCGGGAGGAGGAGGGAAGAGAGGCGAAATGTAGGCGGACAGGGTGTGATGTAGCACCAAGTAGCGCAAGGGATATGTATGCTCGTTGATGCTGCGCAGAACTTGCGCGCTGTATGAAATACGGAGTGCATGAAGTTGCTTGAGCTTTGTCCTTGCATGCAAATCTGTCATCTGACTGAAGCTGTCTCCCCGTCTTCCCATCTCCCCAATACTCCTCTGCATAGTATCAAGATATCTGAAAACAAAAGGACACACAGACGACTCTTCCACATCAAGCATGTCCATCACCCTCCCCTTTCGGACATCCCGGTCCCCCCCAATCCCGAACTCGAAATTTCCCCAGCATCGCTGCAACTCTGCTCTACGACCCAACCAACAAAACTTCCCGCGCAGCCGTCCCGATTCCCGCCCATCATCAACCAACAACAGTAAAAAAACAGCCCTCTTTTTTCCTTTTTCTCGTCTTCTTTTCTCTTCTACTTGCGCCCAACACGCAAATCCCATCTCTTCCCGCCCGTCAGATCCCGAGGAGCTGGTTCCCCCCCGATCTACACTGCTACTCTGCTTCACATCACGATTTGCTACGCTGCGGGCTGTTGGACGCACCCTTGCCAATGCTTCCCTTTTCCAAGCCCCGGCGGCGCCGATATCCAACTGCCCTGTTTCTCTTTTGATGTCATCTACTCGTACATCGCTCGCTGAATTGCCCAACAAGCTCCATCTGCATCTGCATCCTCACTCAGCAACAACTGTCGGTGTGTTCCAGCGTGAGAGCCATCATCAACCACAAATCGCAATCATACCTACTCTACCAAGCCATGCCCTAGTAGAAAACGTTCTCGCACTTCATCGGACTCCGAATCCCTCTCCCGTGCCGCTCACCTCCTGGCCATTTACCCGATTTATTACTTGCTGCATGTTGCTGTGAAAGCGTTCGGGATATTACATACTTCTTTCTGCCACCTTCTTCTCACGTACGGCTCACTTCACTTCAAACCTCACCTTGAAACCTCCTTTCATCCTCGTACATGCCTCGCACACATGTCTGCCCCCCTCAAAACCGTAGCTGGATACATGTACTACCCCAAAAGCTCACCCAACATCCAAAAACTCCCAGCTGCTTTGCTAGCTAAAGGCACTCATCGCCAAACCTCAGCCGCACACACAAAAACCACCCAAAACACCCGCACACATCACCTCCGACCTCCATACACAACAAAGACCAACTCGTAACAGTCTGTAATCCCGCGGCCCTCCGGCCTCGTCAAGACAAGGAGCCCGCGGACCCCTCAATTCAGCCTCAACTAATCAAGCAACTCATCCAACGCACCATGGAACATAGTACTAAGCAGTAAACGAATAACTAACCGAAACAGCTTCCCTTGGCCCTTTCTTCTCAGCCCCGAGACCCCGAAAACGCGCGGGGCAGAAAAAAGCCTGCAGCTTGGGACGAAGCTATCGATGCAAGGAGGACATGTCCACCGATCTCCTCTGGAGCCAAGGAAAATCGTAAGAAAGGAAGAAAGCTACTCCGTAGACTACGAGCCATTGGACAAGAACAGGACAGAGACAGACAAAGAAATGCAAAAGTCCCCCCCGCGTTTGCTGTATCGTGCATTCACCCTGCTTCACAGACTCGTGTATGTTGTAGCAATGTGGCTTGCATGAAAGGCATGAATGCATGAAGCTTGTGGCTTTTCCATATGCACGTTCCATGCCACCAATCTGCATGTACTATAACATACACAGTACTACTGTATAGAAATGAAGCCAGACCAGACGGACCAGCACCGTTCAAGACGGGCAACACCCAGATGCTTCCAAACACGCCCAATCATCCAAACGCCCAATCTTCGTTGGACATCCAATCAACCAGACGCTCAACCATCCAACCCGTTCCAAATCATTCCAGCTTCCCCTCATTCCTCTTCAACATCCATGATCCCCCAAGCCCACTCATCCCATCTCCTTCTAAGCATCCAAGGCTCATCCGCATATCAGGCTGCGTCATATCCCCATCCGCATTCCAACAATGCCCATTCCAAGTCCCTCCCATCCTCTCTCGCACATGTCTCTTATTTCATTCATTTCACTCACTAACAGGGTCATCCAACATTGACTCCCATCCAACCATTCGTACAGCGTGAATAAACTCAACCAGGCCACCGTAAGCCACAGACAACATTCCATTCCAACAACACCAGCCTCGCTCGCATCCCCCTCTCCCACTATCAAAACTTTACGCACACACAAGTAAGAGTAATCTATCCTCCCCTCATCGAAAAGACCCTCCTGATCGGCACCCCGCATGTCCCAGGAGATCAACCTCGCCACCGTCGACTTCCATTAACCCGGGAAACCGCGTTGCCGTTCTGCTCGCCATGCGCATCTCTCATGCTCGACGTGACAAACATGATGTTATTGATTCCGACTGACTCAATGCAACGCCGTGGCAAATGGGTGTCGGCTGTAAGCCGGATGTTACCCTCTTGGAAGAGTCTTGTCGTCCTGTAACACAACACGTGGAAATTCATCGAGTGATATCAGATATTCTTGATGGCTAAATGCTCAGGGTTAAACTCACAAGACATTACGTACACTACCGAGTACGATACAGATCCCCAACGCCCTGAATAGACTCCCAAAATTATCCTCAACATTACCAACCAACACTTGAAACCACAGCCGCATCTGACCCGTCTACTCCCACAATGCCAACCTAAGCATGGGCTGGCCCCATTCCGGGAATTCGAGCTCACTGCTGGGCAGCTTTACCCTGGCGCTGCTGATGCCAATAAAGAGCCCGGCGACGAGACTTGGGTCGACTTCTTCGTTATCGATGCTAGCAATGCGAAAGTGTAGCCTGCTCTGCAGAAATGCCACTACCGAACTCGGCTCGACATTTCGGACAGCTCCCAGGTCAACCAGTCTCATCAAAGCCATGGTTAACGGCACGGTTCCCGATATTTTTGAGTCATGGCCACCCATGCCGCTCATGGTGAAGATGCCCACCGATCCCATGAGATTCGGAGCAAATGCCCAGGTGCCGACGTCGTCTGGCGGCTTGCCGGCGAAGAAGTAGATGCTAAACGACCCATCCAAAGCCCCGTGGTTGACATGTACATTTGCAATCCACTCTGTATAGTGGTTGTCCGCAACATCAGTTGTGTCTACCTTGAGGCTGGGCTGTAATCCTTTGAGGCCGGTACTGCCCTTCCATACGCCACTAGGCCGCCGGTGCTGAGCTTGGCTCTTGATTCGAACCATGGCCGGGCTGCTTTGGCCAAGCCATCTGTTGATCTTGCGAATCAGCTTGTTCCGCGGGCTCTCAGAGTCGCCAGGCCGATATGAGGTGTCTCCATATGCGTAGCCAAACACTTCCGTGGTCCTAGACATGTCAGAGTCCCAGAAAGAGCCGTCTGCTGAGGACATGAATGGCTTAAGCGGAGTGCTAGAGTTTTGCATGGTGCCTTTCAGTGAGGTATAGGTGGTCTCTCCTGAAATTTGCGGAGTCATCCATGCCGAGGGATTGAGAAGTTGCCACATTGATATCAACCTGTCTGTCATGGCGTGGTGCAGGAAGAAGAGCGGATCGAACGATGACAGAGGAACGTAGGTCATATGGCCCCTAGATCCGCCATAGATGTGAATGATGTCGTGGATGGCCTCGATGGAGTCCAGATGGCTGAGATTCTGCGAAGAGGCATAGTTCTTGTTGCTAAACGAGTCAAACTCATGATAACTAGAGAAGAGTATGTACAGTCGCTGCTGTATCTCGGGCAACCTGGCAAGCAAGGCCGCGTTCACTTGGTCATTCATCGAAGGCGGCTCGACTTGACTGATTTCGGTATTTGGAGCCCGTTTCGTCTCATTCCAGCTTCGCAACTATGAGCTGTCAACAGGTGGATGCATACTGCCACTCGGTTATACGTACTGGTGGCCAGATGAGTGCATCTCCATCCAGCGGATGGAACGAGTAAGAGTAAAGCGGGTTACGAATCACCTGGACGCCATTGGGGCCGTACTGAATCATGGTCGAGTTCCAGAAGACGTCTGGGAAGTGGCTCTGGCCTTCAGGTGCAGGCGACGCCCAGTCCCAGTATGGTATACGGAAATCCGAGGCGGCCTGCTTGTAGAGGGAGCGTTCAGTGGCATTGGCAAACATGTCGGCAATGGCACCGGCAAGCTTGTGCAGCTCTTGCTGGAAAACAATGTCATCAGCTCGCTCACAAAACGTGCGCGCGGGCTGTGCCGGCACCGGCTGTCTGGGTCCCAGAAGGACTCACCTCGTACAAGGCCAGATATGGACGGTGCCACGTTGGAAACAAGACTGAACTATGCGGACAGTAACCTGACTGGCTCGCTCCCGCCGCTGGTCCAACCCCGTTCCATGTCACAAAGGGCACACCGTGTATCCCTAGGCTCAGTAACCCATCAGATTGCTGAGGCAAAGCCGAGTCGATTTCACATCTCACTCACCGGCAACCTGGTAATACGACAGGGGATCGTCCTGACTGACTGACTGAAACATACTCAGCGCCAGAATGTACAGATCCCACCGGTATTTGTCTGCCTTGACGTCGCGGATCTCGAGTCTCAGAGGCGTGCTCCCGTTGGAGGCCGATGGCAGGCGGCTGACGACGATGGGCGCGGTGGGATCCTGTCGACGAGTGAGGGAGATGACGTCGACGCCAAAGTCATAGTCCTGGCCAGACACCAGAAGCACGACCAAGTTGAAGATGAAGGCGAGACAAGTGGGGAAGCCCATTGCGTGCCTTGGGCTGTCGTTCTAGAGGTTCAAATATCAAGGAAGTTGTCGGGCGCCTCAGCGCAAGTCTTGATTCGAAGAGGCCAGTAGCTCAAATGATCGGATCGCGGGCTTACAGAATGAGAGAGATTCTGGAGGGCACAAGGGCGAAGGATGGTATCAATGAATGTTGAAGTCTCGTGCCAAAAGATCGGAAACGGACGAAGCAGACAGAGCTGTGCGAATGGCCTCCAAGGTAAAGAAAGAAGAAGGCCTAAAAGAGAGTATCGGGTCAATGACGTCCAATTCAACAGAGGCGCAGCAACCGTGTCTGTCGAGAAAGAAGAGAGAAGAGAGGAGTGAGAGAATATGGAAGAAAGAGGGAAAAAAAGAATCGGGGAGAGGAGAAAAGCTGCTCGGCAGAAGCTGACGGGACGAGGAAGGCAGGCCTCAACACCACCTTCGTCAATGACGAGATGGTACCGATGGCGAGGTACCACAGTTTCGGCCAAAAGGTGCCGGATTTCCAGCTTTACTGCCTTTGTATGTGCACCAGCTCCTGAGCCACGTGAATCGGAGATTCGGCTCCCTCTTGATAAACAGCCTGGATCTTCACTTCTCGAGTCTCTCTTGCCGTGATGTGAGCTTGTTCGGCTCAATCTCAGTCGATCACGAGGCAATTCTCTCACCAAGCAAGCGGCTTGGCCCAGTCTTGGCCCATTGAAGAGGCCAAGATAGACAGGAAAGCACGAGCTTCTTCTTCTTCTTTTCCGTTTGGGCCTCGCGTGGTTTGATAAAAACGGTTCAGGGGCGTTGTGGCCACGTTCAGCAGCTGGATGTGGACGCTATGGGTGGAAGCAGCAATGAGATGGAGGGACGGAGCGACATCTTGAATCGTTTCATATTTCTGTGATGGTGTAGTTACACAAATACCTTGTCTGAAATGAAGTGACGGGCTCAATGATTTAAGAAGAGGGTGCCGCTTGATCCGTCTTCCGTGTACGTGGACGGGAAGCTGCATGGAGACTTGATTACCTTACGGTTGCACATGAGGAGAGCCCCTGACGGCATCGAGTCGAGACTGGGCCACTGGGCTCTTAGACATTGGAAAAGGCATCGCCGTTATCAGTGTGACGGTCGTGACTTGCTCTTTAGACAGTAAATTCTTGATAAAATTGCCCAGATATGCATCTAACACCCATTGCAGCCAACATTCTCACATATATACAACCCCCTTTTTACACTCCCACCAGTTCCCGTTGCTCCTCGGTCGCAAGCCAAATCAAGCGGCAGCTGTAATCTGCTTCAGCGGCTTCATCGGCCCCTTGCGAGGCTCGTCCGACTTGTCTATCCTGTACTTCAACTTGACGCCCATGGCCGCCAGCTCCACGTCCAAGAACTTGAGCGCACCAGGGACCACAACCTGCGTCGTCTCGTCGCCGCCAACCCAGCAGTGGCCCTGTCCGTCCTCCCAGATCTCACCCTGGATCTCCGTCAGGTCGATGCCCTCGCTGTCGTCGAGCTTGACGGCACAGTTGCGGCAGCGAACCATGCTGGGGGCCTTCTTCTTTCCCGGCGCAAACTGGGATACCACGGGCTGCACGGACAGGAACGATCCGCAGCGGCGGCAGATCCATGATCGCGTGTAGTCTGAGCAGTTGAGCAGTCTGTCTTGCAGCAAGAAGGCCGTGCCGTGCGCCAACAGGGCGTCGCGCTCCATTTCACCCACACGGATACCACCACCCCGCTTTCTGCCCTTGATGGGCTGGCCTGTTGTGGGCACCACCGGACCGGTCGTTCGCACCTGGTACTTGTCGTTGACCATGTGACGCAGTCGCTGGTAGTAAACGACGCCGATGTAGATGTCGGCACCCAGTTCCTCTCCTGTGATGCCAGAGTACATGGGCTCGTTTCCGTGGTAGTTGAATCCGGCCTTCATGAGCTGGTGTCCAAAGTAGTCTGCCGCCGTGTTCTCCTCGTCAAATCTGAAGGGGGTAGAATCTTGCGCCAGCCCGTGGAGAGCACCAGCCTTTCCGGCCAGCGACTCCACGAACATGCCAATTGTCATTCGGGACGGGAAAGCGTGAGGGTTAATGATGACATCCGGCTGGATGCCCGTTTCGGAAAAGGGCATGTCCACGGCCGGCCACTTTTGTGACAAGACACCCTTCTGTCCGTGTCGGGATGAGAACTTATCACCGATGACGGGAGAACGGGGGATGCGGATCTTGATGGAGATGGTCTGCAGGGGCTCGGATCCCGACTCGGCGCCAATCAGCCGGACCTCTTCGATGAAGCCAATCTCCGAGTCTTTGTACTTTTCGTAGTGCGTGATTCCGTCAAGGTTGACCAGATTTCCATTGTAATCTGGCGTGACGGTGTGCCATGCGCATAGTACGTCGTCCTCCTTGACCATCCGGCCCACGTGCGGCAGACCATCGTCGTCGAGCATGCCCTGGTAAGCCGCGCTGACGAAGCTGTGGGGGGCGAAGCCAAACATCTTGACGACGCTCTTGGCAGCCCTGGTCCTCGAGTCATCCTTGAGCGTAATCTTCTTGGTCTTATACACCGTACCGTGGCCGAAGCCTCTCTCGTGAGCAGACTTGTTGATGATCATAGCATCGTCCATGTCGTAACCGGTGTATGAAATGACGGCAACAACAGCGTTCATGCCGTTGGGGAAGTTGTCAAAGCCGTAGGTGTTGTGAAGAGGGGCGCGGACAATGGGAGTCTGGCCCGTTTGTATCCTGTATGACTTGTTGTCTGTTCGGTGGCGAATGGCCGTGCCGGGCGTTCCCATGGTTTGCTTACCCATCTGACACTGGTACATGTTTCGAGGGGACTGGTTGAAATCGGAGAAGGGGGTCATGTTGGCAAGGATAGACAACATGTTGGTCGGGTCAAACTCGACGTGCGTTGACACGCCAGACTCAATCTCCTGCGGAACGACGGCAATCGACATGTAAGGCTGCTCGTGAGGGCCAACGAAGTCCTCTTTCTGCAGAGGCAGATACTTGACGGGCCGGACCATTCTGGACGGGGTAGATGTCAGGTAGAGACCCGGGTATGAGCCGCCGTGTGATGGAGGCACGTATCCAATCTCAAGCTCGAGAGGGACGTTGTGCGAGCCTTCAACCTTCCAGTATCTCAGACAATCACCGATGCGAAGCGACTCCTTTGGAGTGCACCATCCGAGAATTTTGCCATCCAGCATGACCGGAACGCTCTCATCAGTTGATGCGGACGATGTCTCGACAGCACCCAGCTCAGCGACCAGCCCAGGGATGCTGGACACGTCGATGTGATCAGTCATGACCTTGCACTTGTGTGCCATGTGGTTCAGCAAACCGCAGGGAGAACCATCAGGAGTGTGGACAGGGCACATGAAGCCCCAGGACTCTGGCAGCAGTTTACGCACGGCAGTCGTCTTGAGCTGGGCGAAGAAGGCACCACGGTGAACCATTCTGAAGTGGCTGATGAAACGCAAAAAGTTGAGCTTCTCCGCCACCACAGTGAAGCCCGCTGTTTGCTGGAGATCAAGGCCCGAGGCACTGACCAGGTTGCCGGTGGACAGGAAGTACTCGAGGCCGTTGGCAATGTTTTCGTTGGATTTTCTGAAGATGCCACCTGGGAACTCCTTTCGGAACTCTTCTGACGTGAAGTTGACAGCGGGGTGTCTTCTCAGATAGTCTCGGATAGCGGCGCGAACGCTTGTTCCAAGGAACTCATCCAGCCTCTCCTTCAAGATCTGCGCGTAGAGGAATCCACCAAGAAGAATTTCCTGGTTCTGAATCGCATCAGGGTTATCGACAGCGCATTCGCCGGCGGCCAGGGCGTACAGCTTCCGGATCATGAACAGAACCAGATGGAACTTGTCAAGATCTTGCTTCTCTGTGACGTCGACGTTGCCCAGGTGCACACAGACAATCCTTCGCAGGAATTCAGTTCCCACCTCGTAGTCGGACATGGTTTCCGGAACACCCAAGACCACTCTGAACTTCTGGCCCAGATAAGCCCGGGTTTCCGACTTGCTGTAGAGACGGTATGCTTTGTATGTCCTCAACAAGAGTTCCACTCGGTCTGTGAGGAAGGTGTTTGAAGCGGCTTTGGAGCCCATGGGTCCAATCAGGCCCTCGAAGATTTCTCGGTCGTTGGTCTCCACCAGAGCCTTCAAGATCATGATGACGGGAATCAGGTACTCGTTCTTGCGCCAAGAAAATCGAAACGTCACGTTTCCGTCTTTCAGATAATGCAGAACGTTTGTCTGAGACGTCTCATCGGGTCGTACTGATCGGAGAATGATACCGTATGTGGTGTATCCGGCACCTCGATTCGTGAAGCTCGGACGGTTGATAGCCATCGGGAAGTTTCGCTTGTTCACCTGCAGCAAACGGATGATCTTTTCGTTTCCGTTGACGATGAAGTATCCGCCAAGCTCTTCGGACTCTTCTTTGCGCGAGACTAGCAAAGCTGGCGAATTGCCCTCGAGGTGGCACCTATTTGACTGTTTGCAACTGGTGAGCAAGGGCTCCTCGGAGAAACGTTGAGCACTGCAGGCGCGTCAAACCTTGATCATGATAGGAACCTGGCCAAGTTCTCTAGTAAACTCAATGGCATCGCCTCCATTGATGCTGTACTCGAAAGTGGCGGAGAGCTTTCCTCTGTATGTGGCGTGTCTCTCTCTGCACTCGGCAGGGTAGATTTCTCTGTTCAGGGCCAGCTTGTTGGATGGCGGCACCTGTGGCTTCTGCAGAGTGACGTCCTTGATCCGAATGTAAAGCTTGTTTCTGTCTTCTGGCGCAGCGCGGTCGTTGCCATCGAGGAAAACTTTTGTGCCAATGTCTGCCAGGCCGTGTGCGAGAAGGCCGGGCTTCCCATCGCCGCGGAAGATGGCGTTGAAGGACTCAATGTGAGGGTTGACGGCCAGCTGGAGAGCAGGATACGCGGAGTGATCGGTCGGAGGATTGCGAAAGAGATCCTGCCGACGCAGAGTGTGGAATTGGTGATCCCATTCCGTGTTGGTGGCTGAGGGCGCCATGTCGAGAGGAAGCGTCAAGCTTGGATCGCAGCTTTTGCTCGACGGTGGAGGTTGAAATTAGAGAAGGGTAGGAATAGAGTATGGATGAGCCTCAACACATCGAGACAGGCGGCTTCTTCTGGGTGCTGCAGATATAAATGAAGCGCTTGCTCTAATTGAGTCGCGATTGGAGGCTGTTCGGCAGACTCGTTCGCAGCGGATAGCTCGCAATCGGACGGGAGAAAAAAAAAGTTGATGATAACAATGGGTCACATGAGATAGCGCTATCGATAGTGCTATCGACAGTGACATAAGCCGCGAAACAGACCTGGCGGGGTGACGGCTGTATGGCTGCGGGGTGGCGTTTGTGGCTGGTCTTCCCTTCGTTGTGGCTCTACGCTTTTGTCCCATAAGGTAGGTGTTCATGGCAGGAAGACGAGAGGATCGGGAGATGCGGAGGAGTTGGGTGATCATGTGGTGAAGTAAATCATGTCTGACCTAGAATAACTTGGACTATTCAGAAGTCTTACAAAGGCTCAACGCCAAGCCTGGCTGATGTACGGGCCTCTCGTAGAGAAAGGCGCTCTGCTGACAACAAACCTCCAGCACAACGGGAGTCGATATTAGGAGCAGACATGGAGTACGAAGCTGCTGCAATTAGTCATACGTGCAGCAAGAGGCAACCCAGGCGAGCATATGATATCAATGCAAAGCTGGGTCCCTATAGCGTACCGGCTTAGCATGCCAGGCTGAAGGTTGCCGGCCTTGTTGCGTCCAGTATCAACCGCATTCCTGGAACAAACTCATACCCTGTACTTTGCATTTGATTCGACCTCAGAGCAACTCGGTTCGGCAAGTTTTGAATACCTCTTGTCTGATTCCGAGTCAATGTTTTGTGCTAGACGAAGACTACCATGGTCAAGTACCACAGCGCATGTGACGGATGACCATGAATGCTGGTTGGTGTGCCTGGCACTTTATTTGGTAGATATCAAGGTGTCATGAAAGCGGTGGCCGACGTAATAATGCTTAACTCCCCCTCAAAAGCGGCCCCCCTGGTCGTGATGCTTTCCGCATCTTGTCTCGTACATGGAGCTTAGCAATCCGTGTTGCACATGCAATCAATGCTTTCCGTCTCGCGCAGTCTGGCAACTGCAGGTATTGTTCCCGCATCGGCCATCTGCGGCAGCTCAGATATGCTCGAACTTGGACACTTTGCCATGCTCAAGCTTGCCCTTGTTACACTGATTCAAGACACGCCTGCAGAGATATAAAGACCGGGGGTGCTTCTCGTTCTATTGCCGCCGGGACTTTTGCCTGGAGCTTCTCTTTCTCGACGACCGCACCTGTCGAGAAAGTGCTAGGCGCTGGAGCAGGGGCCACGAAATTGGAACTGTCGACACATGCGTCTCCCCAAGAACGCTGCTCCGATCAACCAGATCAGGATGCAGCCATCAGAGCAGGCGGAAAGGCTAGCAGGGCCTCGTGGACAGTGCACAGGCTCGTGAGGGCAGAGCGAGACAGGTTCGTGTGTGACGGAGGCGCTGTGCTGTGTTATGGTTATGCCTTGAGTCGGTGCCAATGTTTGCAGTGTATGATGTTGGATTGGATATCGATACGAGGCAATAATCGGACCAGGTCCAGGATCATAATATCCATAATATCCACCATCATGAATGAATTTGATAGTGCCCTGGTCTGAGTATCCAGAGAGATGGAGGCTTTACAATATCGCATTATGGCAGCATGGAGCTCGGGGTCTAGTGGCGGGGCTGCAAGGAAGAGGAGAAATTCGCTGCCTATCAACGTTATCAGCCAAAGCTAGCGGCGGCAGGTACTCAGCAGGTCGACCCTTCCAGGTCCTCTCCAACCCCGACCCCGCCATCGACAGACTCGTCAAGGCCTCCTCATCCCCATCCTTGCCTTGTCATTACTACTACATACATCGATACTCTGCCATCAAGACGACGTACGTCTCCCTCTTCTCCCATCATCTCCTGCTCGTCAGCCGCAAGATACATCTCCCCTGCCTGCTCCTCTTCTCGTCCGCGGCAGCAAACCACCGACAAAGGCTCCGGCTGCAGAGACACGACAGGATAGAGACACCGCAGCTGCCAACTACCCTAGGCGCTGTGCTCCAGGAATCCACCGCTAGAGGCGCTGGAAATGGCATAGCACTCCTGCAGCCTGTCAGTCCTGAGAATCACCAGCACAAGCCGAGACGAGGATCAAACTCCAGGATTCCATCACCAGGCTGCCCTCGCATTAGCCGCCGCCGGCTGCTAAACCGCTGTGAGCAGAGCTACAGCACGGTACCCGAGTAAGTGCTACCAGGTACTGCTTCGTACCAGCATCTCCATCTGAGACACTGGGTGAATGCCCTCCTTGCACAAGATACGGGGTGCCCTTATGCATCCTGATGAGCCAAACCCCGGCTCATGATCGGCCCCGTCTGCGCAAACGAATGAAACGGCAGAGTCTGCGTTAACCTCGACTGGCAGCATAGGTCTGGTGACTCGACAAACACAGCATACCCGCTTCCATACGACGTCCCGAAGTTGCGCACGCACGGTACAGCGTCCTGGTGCACCGCTGCGACAGAGGCACAGTAACCGCCACTCTGCGCTTTGGTTGGCTGTGGCTTTTTTCGTCCTCGCTTTTCCCCTTCCTCCCTCTTGGAGCCATCCTGCTGCTGCAGCGAGCAAATCCCCCCCCGTCCACTAGCCGTCCAGATAGCGGAGCAGAGCAGCTTGCCGTCTCGATGCTGCTAGGTTGCAAGCTTCGGACCTACGTCAACAGGTACTAGCTGCGGCTGCGATACGCCATCCCTACGCCAGGCCCTACGCCCTGCTCGACGCTTTCGAAATTTTGCCGCTGCATCTCTCGGCCTCTACGCATCGCTACGCATCACTACGCATCGTCTGCCCATCTCTACGGGCTCCCTCGCATTCCAGACGAGCTCGCGGCATCCAGGTGAGTTCTCACAGTCCGCTCCAGCTCCCCCAGAGCTCGTGCTTCGACGCCCGTCAGCCCGCCCTGTCTCGTCCACCATCCATCCTGACCCAGGTGGGGTTGCTTCTGCTCTGCCGCCAGGCGTCTCCCTCAAGCCCTCATGTCACTTGAACCAACCGTTGCGCAACAACCTAGCAGTCTCGCTCTCTCCGCATCCCTATCTTGCCCCATCTCTTTTCCTTTCCCTTTTTCTTTTCTATTTTTTTTTTCTCTTCCGAAGTTCCCCCCCCTCTCGTGCGCATCGCAAAGCGCAGTTGACGAGCTTCGGCATCCAACTGACCCGTTTCGCTCCCACGGCTATAGAGCGCTGACCTCTGCTGTTGCTCCATCCAGCCGCATCGGACCTATCGCATGCCAGATCTCAAGCTTCGCATCCGCACGATCTTTGCGTCGTCGTCGTCAAGCCGATAGATTTTCCCCGAGCTCCCACAGCAACGTTCCTTTAGCGACGCCATTCGCGTCGTTCCGTTGACGACCGTCGCTATTGCGCGACTTCCTGAGACATCGACAGCGTCCGACCGCCGGTCGTACCGCCGAATCGAATTTCGCGACTCCGTCTGTTGATACCGTTTGCCCTGTCTCCCTCCTCCCTCCTCTTCTTCCCTCCTTGTACCAATATCGATCGCTGTCCCGAATACCGATTTCCAACATGGCTGGGCTCTTCAGAAAGGTGTACGACTGGCTGCTGAGGACGTTTTGGTGAGTAGCTCTACTCCACCCGAACCAGAAGCGGGGAGCATGGTGCTGTAGCACTGCTGTGCGTAGACGACGGCTGTCTCTTGGACCAGAGGCTGGCCTGCGCTTGAACGTTGCGTGCTTCTCCTGATTCTGACCGGTGACGTAGGGCATTGGAGATGGAAGTGACCATGGTCGGTCTGCAAAATGCCGGAAAGACATCGTTGCTGCGAGTATTGGCTGTAGGTTTCCCTTGTTGTTGACACCTTGCTCCTCGGTTCCAGGCTGACTCGTCGGTACGATATCCTAGGGCGGAGAGTTCACTCTTGAGTAAGCACATGCGCATTCTTCTACCTTTTCTTGCTGCCATGGTCGGTCGGCGGTTATCGAGTGTACCGTATTCCTCTTGGCGTCGTGGCAATCCCCGAGCATTTGGTCAAGAGGCTGGCCTAGTGACTGACTGCATTTTGTGTAGCTCGATTCCGACGGTCGGGTTCAATATGAAGCGTGTGCAACGAGGACATGTTACACTCAAGTGTTGGGATATCGGTGGGCAGCCGCGTTTTCGCACCATGTGGGAGCGGTATTGCCGCGGTGTCAACGCCATCGTCTTCATCGTAGACATTGCGGATGTAGAGCTCATCCCCCAGGCCAAGGAGGAGCTTCACTCGCTCATGGCTCACCCGTCGCTGGGCGGGATCCCGCTGCTCGTCCTGGGCAACAAGTCGGATCTCCCAGAGAAGCTGTCGGTGGACGAGCTGATTGACGAGCTGGACCTGAAAAGCATCCAGAACCGTGAGGTGTGCTGCTACGGCATCAGTGCTAAACAAGAGACGAACCTCGACGCCGTGGTGCAGTTCCTGGTGAAGTGGGCTGGTCGATGAGGCCTCTCGATTGCTAACAAGCGGACGACTTGGACAGCTGCCAAGCTGTCTGCTCACAGCACAGGACCCATGCTTGGGAGCGAGGGACCAAGCCGGAGACGAGCGCAACCACTAATCTCCCAATGCCCCAGGACCCCCTCTCTTCGAGGTGCCAGAGATCGACTCGACCGGGCACCTGTTTGAGCAAACCATAACCTCCCCTCCCCTATACGGCGTGGAGGCGAGGCAATCCGGACGGACGGCTGATGGTATATAAATTTCCTCTCTCACGAACTCTCATGAAAGATGACGGCGACATGGCAACATTTTGGTTTCCTTTTTTTCTTTTCTTTTTGGTGGCTCTCGACCGGGGCTGGCCGTTTGATTAATCTCCTCTTGGCTCCTGGCATTGGATGGAAGTAAAGGCGGCATCCGGAGGCATCGAGCGTGGGCTATAGAAAACGGGACGGGGCTCGGAACAAGGCGGGCACTCGCCCGCGCTCTTCTGTGCGATTTACCCCCTTTCCCTGTTTCTTTTGGTTTGGATAAGTTGCGACCTTCCCCCTTGGATCGAAGGCGCCTCTGTATAGCAAGCGATCCGGGCGATGAGATATGAATGATGATTTATAGCATTGTGCAAAACAGAGAGCAAGGAAAGAGAAACGATGACCTCCTGGACGGGAACCGGTGATGTGGATGACTGACGGTAGAAGTGAATTCTTTTTGTTGAGTCGTAGGTTTGTAGATGCCTCGGAAATGAAAAAAAAAGCCAGTCCTGGGGTAGAGCAGAAAAGCAAGGAAGCGAGGTCCATGGAGAGTCCCGGCTGTTTGGTCCTGGAAGCCAGGGTACATGTAGGATAGTGGCTGGTTGCGCGGGGCTCAGACGAGGTTGGGCGTGTGGGGGATGGTTCAAGTCACCGCCAAAGGAGTGAAGGAACCTGTTGTCTGACGGACAAAAGAAAAAAAAGAGAGCAGTGAAGAGAATATTGAAAGCAGCTATTCAAGTATAAAAGAGAGAGAAGTTGGGTGAAGAGGAAAAAGACGGGAAAAGGGAGAAGAGGGAGATGGGTTTTGGTGTGCCAGAAGTTGGAGGTGAGTGGGCTGGGAAAACGGATCTCGAGGCTACACACGGACCACTTTGATGCGTTGGCCAACTCATCAGTGCAGGTTGACAAGCGCCGCGTTCCCTGTCCTGGTGATTTGGATTGGTGACTTGGCCTTTTTGTCGAGGCTGGGCTATTATTGCTTGGATGAAGATTGTACGTAGAGAGGGCTTTTTTTCTTTCTTGTGTTTTGATTAATGGCGCATTTGCATTTTGCATGCTTTTTTAGATTACAGTGCGTGAGGTTCTCATGCTGGATGATGTGATGGGCTCTTTTTATTACTGCAGATTTGGTGGCTACGAGGAGGTTGACACGGGAGAGAGGGAGAGAGAAAGAGAGAGGAGGTACGTGGTGTGAGTAAAGCGTGTGCCTGCCAGTGAGAGAAGTGACAAAGTGAGGTGTGAGTTTGTGTGTGAGTGTAACCCGTCGAGAAACGGTAGCCGACGACTGAGAGAGCGACAAGGCCGGGGGCTTGGGTTCCGTTGTTTGGTTGTATGTATGTGTGTACCAAGTATGTAGCATGTATGTATGGAGGGATTGTGTTTTGTCTTGTTGCGGTTTAGTTGGTGGGATGATGGGCAGGAAAAAAAGTGCCAGCGCATCAAGTAGGGGTGGGTTCTGTTTTGTGTGTGTACTTTTACTTTTTTTTTGTGTATGGAAGGGTCTGGAGGAGAAGAGTGTTTTCTTTGTGAGGTGATGCGCGTGGGGGGATGTAAGGGAGATGGAGATGAGAGATGAGAATGCGGAGGATGGGGAGATTGTATGGGGCTGTGAGGGTTCGAGATGGGGAGGTTTGACGTGATGAGGTCTTTGGTGGTGGTTTGGGTGGTGAGTTTCTGGTGATGGTTTGGTGGTTGATTTGGATGGTGGAATCGGCGAGGTTCACGACGCAGATGAGACTACATACATGTAGTACCTTGGTAAGTCTCCAGACACGCTACATACTGCAATACGGAAGCAAGAGAATATATACAGCAGTATCATAAGGAAAGAATAGATGGGGGAAAAAATAGCGACCATGGCAAAAGTTTTCATATCTACACTATACTCTTTTCCCCTTCAAACAGCGGCAGCAACAGGCGACTTCCATGGTGTTACTGGGATGCTACACAGCCAAAGCCCGGCGGGGGGGCTGCAGAGTCGCTCAACACCTCTGGAACGGGGATATCACGTTGAAAGGGGAAGACCAACAAACGACAAGCTCTTTCGACGCCGGCTATGTCACTCTGCATATATATCGACCCAATCTTATATGGCAACGGAGAGAATATTTGACTATCTTTCGTCATTTTTTCTCTTCTCCCCGTATCTCTTGCAGCGTTTTTTTGTTGAGGTTGAACCAGGTTGTTGCGTGAGGCTGAATTCCCTCTTGCATGAATTTGCTGTTACTATTACTACTGCATCGTTTTCATATGGACCCCTTGTATCTTGCGCCTCTTTCTCCTAAGTCTTTTGTCTGCTCGCTTTGTTCCTTTTGGCTGGATGAATTGTGATGAGGAGGAGATACGTATGCAATGTACATGCGATGTCATGCCATGCTCATGCAGTGCCATGTAGTGGCTCACGGCGTGACGAATAGAAGACTGCATATGCAGTAATAAAAACGCAAAGTGAAAATTTCTATCGTCAAAGAGGAGAAGATAGCAGAGAGTAAAAGATTGAAGAGGAAGAAAATATGCAGAGCGGATGATAGGTTTCCTGTCTGCAGGTAATATATGCAGTTTGAGGGGATGGTCGTGATGACTTGGCGGCGGGTGTTTGGGCGGATAAGAGTGAGTGAGGGGGGGAAGATGTGTAATATGTAAGGGAGATGGAAAGGACTGGGGGCTTGAGTTGCTATCTTATATATGTAGAGTGAGTAAGTAAAGTAAAGTAGTACTAGTAGTAGTATGTGATGCGTGTGTGCGTGAATGGGTGGGTTCCAGATGCTGCTCAAGGTTGCGTTATATGTAGGCAGGCCGTTTTTCTTCTTCTTTTGTATGTACGTGAGCGTGGTTGAAGGGGATTTGCTCGTGAGAGGGCGGAGGAGGGGAGATGCATGCATTGGATATATGGAGTTGGTTTTGATGAGGGGTTAGGAAGGGAGGAGGATGGTGAACGTGACGGCGTTGGGTTGGGACGTTGAGAGACGAGATGTGTGAATGCTGTGAGGAGGGATCGTGAAGAGTTGAGTTGGATGAAGAGGGTAGATCCGGTGTACTACTACTACTTAGCATACAAGACACACAAAGATATATAGGGTCGTATCCGTTGGGCCGCCAAAGGCATCTGCCGATACATATCCTATCTAGCCCGGCACATACATATGCACCACCGAGATAACAACAGAATCGAGGCCTTTTCAAAATATGGATAAGGATTGGGATTGGGATTGGGATTGGGATTGGGATCGGATTGCACATCAGGGTATTTTTTGGGGGGGATTTCGGGTGTCAATCAAGGGTCCATCCAATATCCTCTCCGCTCCCCCACACCTTCTGATCAAGGTATCTCGAGATTTGATATAACCTCTCTTGCACTCTTTCTTCCTCCTTTCAATTTTTTCTTTTTTCCTCCATTCTCAAGTTGTCTTTTGGTTTTTGTTCATTCATTCGCTTCTTTCAGGGGCAAAGGCGTTATGGAAAAGTCTATGCTGTTCTGTTGACTTGTCTTTTGTTGCCTTCTTTGTCGCTCTTTTATCAAATAGTAGGGATGGCGTTACTTTTAGAGGTTACCTACCTACCTTGGCTTTTCTTTTTTTGAAGAGTGGTGAACGTGAGTACATACAGTACCCTGGGTGAAAAGAGTTGAGGCTTTGCTGAGAATTTGATTTTGACTGACGGTGTGAGTTAGCCAGACACCCTCGCCAGCAAAAAGAAAGAAATGGGGTTTTGACAAGTTGAGCTTCTTTTCTGCTCACGGCGGTATGTTTTGCCCATCAACATCTATATAGTACCAGAGTCTGCGTTTAGGACTAACTTGGGCTTATAGCATTTCCTTTGGAACTCTTCGGTTACTCTTCCGCCGGAAACAAAAACCACACAAAGAAAAAGAAAAAAAAGAAAGGAATGAATAGGCGGATTATCAAAAGTTGAATAGACGGGAATAGATCTCTCCATGAAGGAGACATAGGGACGCCGGATCAGAGCGGCCAACGCCCGCTTTGGCTAGGTCCAGCCCCCCCCCCCAAACAGTTGCTTGCCGTCCCGACGATGATGTTACTATTTGAGGGGGAGGGTTCTACAGTCTCTACTGCAAAGTCAGCTATGGGGGGGCGTTGGCTGCTCTGGTGCTCCATGGCATTGATAATGGTAATGTGATAATGGAGGAATGGGGTCGGGCTCTTCGCTTCTCGCGTCTCGTTTCTTGCTTGCTTGAGGTTTGCCTTGGGCAGCGGGCATGGCGTGCTTCGTTGGACAATATATTGGTTTAATGACAATGTCTCTTGTCTATCTGTCTGGATACTACGGATACCCTATGTGCCAAGTAAACATAAAAAAACGTGGTATATACTCTTCAACATGCCATGTACCAGCGAAACCATGCAAAATCATACGAAATGTCCAAAGAAATGCAAAACTATATAAGGATTCACAGCTAATTCATAATGGGGACTCGAATTGCTTCCAACAAACCATCAAGGATAATCAGTGAAGCCAGCAGACTTGCCGCTCCTGTCCAGCAGGTACCTGTACTTGTCCCCCTCGCGCCTCAGCACCGCCGGAATGTCCTGGTTGCGCTCGATGCGCTCAAAGGTGTCAATGTCGCGCCCCCAGACGTCCCGGCCCTCGCGGACCGCCTTGGCAATGTTGTCGCGGTCGCGGTACTCGTCCTGGTTCATCCAGACGTGCGAGAAGCTGGCCATCTTGTTGAGGAACTGCTCCATGGTGGCGAAGCAGCTGCTGCAGTGCCAGGCGGCGTTGCCCAGGCGCGCCTTGTCGAGGTCGCGCAGGAAGGGCACGCCGCCGTCGCCGTTGCGCAGG